TCCTTTCTTTAGAGTATTGTCATTTTGCTATAATCTTAAAATATTTCTGTTTGGAAAGGCTTTTTATTTATACCCTTCAAGCCATAAGTCTATCGTTGGTGGACTTGCATTGCTGAATGGTTTGGAATTCACTAAATCAAAAATAAATATAGGTGCTAAACATGTTTCCTGTATTTGGCTACAAGCCACTGTAATTACTTTATATAAGTTTTATGTACAAAGTGTGATCCTACTGCAGGTTATACGCTGGTAATTCTGCAGGTTATATATCAGTACTTTTGCAAATATTATGTTAATTTTACAGAATATGTGATGATATTTGAGCAGGTGATGTAATGCACTACTGTTAGTTGTGTAATACACTATTGATGGTTGTACAATCTGCTACTGCAGGTTATATCATGGTATTACTACATGTTATATGAAGTGGTATTATAGGTTATATCATGGTATTACTACATGTTGTAGGAAGTGGTATTATAGGTTATATCATGGTATTACTACATGTTGTAGGAAGTGGTATTACAGGTTATATCATGGTATTACTACATGTTGTAGGAAGTGGTATTATAGGTTATATCATGGTATTACTACATGTTGTATGAAGTGGTATTATAGGTTATATAATGGGTTACCACATGTTATATGAAGCAGTATTATAGGTTATATAGTGGTATTAATGGTTATAATGGTTCTAATTTACTACTCAGTGTTGTGTAATGGCATTACTGCATATTATGTTTTATTTTGGTTTATGTAGCGGTGTTCCTACAGTTGTGTAATGGTAATACTAAGGGCTGTATAATGGTATGCTACTGTATATTATATTATTTTTGATTTCAGTTTATGCAGTAGTATTACTGTAAGTTGTGTAAAATGTAGTTGCACTGCTGTGGGCTGTGTAATTGTATACTACTGCTCAATCATAAAGAAGCAGTATTTGTTCGACACTAAAGCACTTAACTTTCTTTTCTCTCATCCCTATTATTAGTTTTTGTCACATATCCTTCCTCATGAAGAACGCATTATATTTCATCATAATAAAGACTTAGCTTTACCTAAAGTAACTGATATATTAGAGCAGTTTGAGAGATTTTGGTAAACTTTTATTTAAAAGGATTTTGATACTTTAGTAGTTCGAGTTGTTAAAAGTGCCTTAATAGCAGTTTTTAGTAAGTTAAGCCTTTAGTTCAGTCAGTTGAGCACTTGCTTGATGTGTGAAAGATCTTGGGCTCATTTGGCACCACTTAGAAGTTGGTGAATTCAAAAGTTTAGGAAAAGGGATTTTTGAGAAATCCCTGGATTTCCCAAGGGGTGGGGTGAAAAAATTTACCTCTGTGGAAACCTTGGGAATGAGACAGTTCATTTGGTAGTACTTAGAAGTTGGTACGACCTGCATTTTAGGAGGAGTTACGTGACATACAAACACTGAATCTTGTTGTATAGATATATATATTTATGAGATATATGTAGAGTTTGAGAGGTTATTAGCATTGTATGTGTGAACATATGCATTCAGTATATCTTAATCTTATTTGCAATATACTTAGTTTTTCCAGTATGACAAGAGGAGTGACTCGGGTGTTATAGAAGAGGAGCAAAAAAAGTATTGTGAGTGTTTCTGTTTTCTTTATTTGTTTAAGCCTGAATCCATTTCTCGCAGTCAATATTTTTTTTTAAATAGAATTATTTCTTTCATTAAAAAATTCAATATAAAGAGTATAAATAATCTAATATATTTTTTAACTCAAAAGATCTCAACTTTTTTTCTGAAACATTTATTTTGTGTAATTCATAAAAATAAATTAAAGAAGTTCCAACTTTCATTTCTGTGCAACTCTAAGGAGTTTCGCCTGTAAACAATGCATTTATTGTTTTTTCCTTTTAGAATTTTTCTATCCACACAAAAGTATATGTTTATGCTTACTAGGAAATTATTATCCCTTGAAAATATAGTGATTCATATCATTTTTTGGTGTGATTCTATTACTACAACAACCTTGTGTGTTGCCGTCCTTTTATATGTCTCAGCACGTGTCCTAATTAATTACTAATGAAGCTCAGATGTGAAAATTGCTCGAGTCAGTGGCTAAATACCATTCTGTAGAGCAGGTTATGAACTACCTACATCAATGTAGAGTAAAAGAAGGAATTTTAACAGTAACTTATGGTTTTTAAATATATTGACTGCCCTGTAGTGGTGAACAAAAGAATTTAAGGGGAAGTTTACATTATTCAGAAACAAATAGCAGATCTGGTAATTTTCCTAAAGGTTCTTTAGATATTCTTTTTTCATTCCTAAAAATATTTTTGTGTTAAATTATTTCTGTTTGAAAACTACAAACATTTCAATATGTGACAACACATCGGGTAAGCTTAGTTAGGTACGAGAATGATAGACAACTGCCAAATATTTTAATGACTCAAATCCTCTTTTACTGAATATTATTGTTTTCATACATTTCACACAAATAACTTACTATATATTGAAAACAAAGTATAATTGTTAAATATAAATTGAGCTCAAGAAAAATAATAGCAAAAATTTTGATACTTATCCTCACAAAGATATTGGTGAAAGGTGAGGTCCTTGGTCACTGATAAAACTTTGTCAGTTTTTGCTGTATTTATTTATGGTTTATTACTGTATGTGGTGGTTACTGCAGTTAGCAGTATAAAGTACCAAAAGAAATATGTTAATGAATATCAGCAAAGTTGAAACTGCCTGGTTACGTAAAATGGAACTTTCCAGTCAACAATTAAAATGAATTGAATATATAAGATGAAAGGAAGAATCCTAAATGTTTTACAAAACAGTGTCACCACAAAATTTTGGAAATTTCACAACGTAAAAAATGATAGAAATACTAAATCAGATGATATTAAATATTCAAAGAGAAACTAGAAACCATTTAGTAAGTTTGTGCAAACTTCAAGGAATTTGATTAAGTATTACCACTGTGAGAGGTAGAAAATTGGAGGATGTCAATGACATCCCTCTGGTCCCTAAAAGAACTAGAGCTTTGAAAACTAGACAGTTTTTTTCTGTTTTCATTGTGCTCTCCCGGTTTTCAGTAGGATTTAAGTATTTTTATGTATTGTTTTAAAGTATTGAAATTTGTCTATGATTAAACTGTTGAATTATTATTCATATTAAATTTTAGTTTGTTCTTTTTCTTTTTAAATTTAAAATGATTTGACATATGTAAGGTAGCTTTGTATTCACATAAATTGTATTAATTGATCCACAGTCAATAACAAGATTTTACTAAACATCTATCAGTGACCTTAAAGAAGTGGACATATACCATTGTTCCAAGTTCATTATGTAACCACATGTGCACACTAGTTCTGAACATGTAACATATTTTTTTATTAAAGTTTATTCACTGTGTGTAAATTTTTGTCCCTCCATTGAAGCTTGTTTTCTCCAAATTTTTTAAACCAACATTGCCAAAAAATCGTTTATTTCCTCTGTAAGATACTGTTGCTGTTTTTCACCACAGATAAGCATACTTTTCAGTGTAGTTTGTATACAGTAATGATCAATTCACTATGTATTGTTTTATATGTGTAAGTAGTTTTATACTTAACTAATTACTTAACTATCACTCCCAGATAAATGCATTTGGGAGAAATTTACCATTGAATTAAATTATAAAAAATAAATTTGAAACATTCTTTTACTCATTAAATGCAAGTGAATACAATAAAAAAGTTTTATTTATTTAACTTTATGCCTGAAAAATTTGAAACTTTTGATTTTGGGTTAATTTCAGCATGCTCAAAACAAATTCATTAGTGTTTGTGAATTTTCTGAGCAGAATATGATACTTGTAGCCCTCTAGGATGAAAGTCAATAAGTTTGAACAAAATTGTGCTCATTTTACATAGTAAGTTGAAAACAAGTGTACTTTTATTGATTTTTGTACCATCACTGTTTCTCAACCTGGGATGTTATGATGTGATATAATTGCCCATATCTCAGCTTTAAGAAGTCATAGGCTGGTAGTCTAAACATGTAATGGAAGCTCATTTTCTGTTCTTCTCACCCGTTCAAGTTGATTTGGCTTCCAGATCAGTATAGATTCACAAATTTGATGGAACAAAGTGATAAAATCTTGGATTGATGCTAGAAGAAAAGATGTTTGTGAACAACTTCTTGTATAATTACAGTCCAGATTTTTTTTAAGGCTTGCAGAAAGCTTGGTTTATAATTTTGTACTTCATGTTAATTATGATGTTTCAGAGAATGAGGTAGGCTTAGTTAAATAATTTTTTTACTCAACCATATCAATTTTTGTTTCACCGACAAGGCTGCTTCTGTATTAGGCCTTTTTGGCCTAAGTAACTACTCGAATAGGCAAAGAAAATCACTGAAAGGAAATGTGAAATACTATGTAAATGAACATAAAATGGGTTGAAAACATGTATACATATATTCAATGAAACATTCTGATTAACAGTTTTAAAAAGTTAGTTTTCTTGTACTTTGGTATAGTAAATAAAGCAACAACTTGTAGTTTTATAAGATGGAAATGTTTTAGTAAAGTTTTTAAGACTTTAGTAAGACATAAAACCAGTAATTAAAATCTACAACAAAGGGAAGCATTTTTAATTGTTTAAAAAGATATCATAATGAAACCTAAAATTTAAAAATTGTAAATTCATACAAATATCACATGTAAAAATAATATATTTTATTTTCAGAAGCTGTGTAAGTTATAGAAAGCTATTCTGAAGTTTCAAATTATTTCACCTATTATTTTTTTGTATTGTAATAAAGCAAACCATTCAACAAATACATTGAATCGACACATCCTTTAAATGTCTTAAGTAACAAAAATTATTCTTTTGTTGGTATAAATAGTCCCACAGAAAAACATGGAGTGTGTTAATATAAATTTTTTCAAAAGTAAAAGCTTTTGCACAATGAAATTAAAGTTGCAAATTTGTTTCATGAAAAGACATTTGGATGTTCTAAATAACAATTCTTTGTTTCAGTAAAGCAGCATGATAGCCAGTTCCAGCAGCTAATTGGAGATGCTCAAAAGAGACAGGAAAGAAAAAAAACATTTAAAGGTGAATGCATTAATGATTTTTTTGTCAGTGAAAGTCTGTGTTTTCTTTTGTCAATGACCTAAGTTGCAAAACACGTACATCTGTAGAGAAATGTTTAGGAGTAGGCTGAGTCTGAGTGTATGGTGTGAAATTTTTTTGGTTAACCAAGATGTGATCGTACATTTTTCGGGTTCAGTTGTATGTTACTGGTTACAAATATGTAAGGTGGTCTCTCACTAATTATAACTAATATTTATCAATGAAAAGTCATGTTAGTCAACTATGCTACAAAGTCTAAAAAGTGGCATAACATATCATTGATCATGATTTTAACATAACATTAAAGGATAACAAGGGATCTTTTGGTCCATCTTGGCTGTCCTATCCACTAAATTAAACTAAACACTAAATAAAATGCAAATCCAGCCCTTGTAATTCAAATATTTATGAAACTTCCTCTTAAACTACCTTAAATGAACTGCATCTACCATATCTGATGGCAACTCATTCCAAAGGTTAATCATCCTAGTGGAAAAATAAAGTCGTCTTAGCTGAAGTTGACTCCTACCCTGCCAAAATTTATACTTGTGTCCCCTAGTTTTACCATTCTCACCATTAAATATGAAATAAGATGGTGCATCAACACTATCACTTACCTTAACAGTATTAAACACCACAATCAGATCCCCTTCTTTTTTTCAAGAGAAATCAAGTTCACAGATCTTAACCTATCCTCGCATGACAACCTTTCCATCCCATTTATCATCCTATTACCCCTGTTCTGAACCCTTTCAAACAAGTCAATGTCTTTTCTAAAGTAACGAGCCTAAGACTGAACACAGTATTCCAAATGTGACCTACACAATGACATTATGACCTCTCTAGATTTGTATTCAGTATTTCTGTAGATACTATTTAAAATCGTATTTGTGCTGCCACTAGCAACAGCATGTTGTTTGGATGGTTTAAGAGATAGATGAAATAGAACACCAAGGTCTTTTTCTTCATTAGCATTTTTAAGGCTGTTCCCATCAAAATTAATCATATTTCAAATTGTGATATCCAAACTGAGTTTATTATAACTACAGGTCATCTGCTATTTATTTGTCCTACCCACCAAAATATCCAAATCATTTTGTAAAGCAGAAGCATTCTTTCCACAACTAGTAACACCCAAAATTTAATATCATCAATAAATTTAAATGACCTATTGACCATTCCTTCATCTATATCATTGATGTAAATCAAAGTAAGCAAAGGTCCTAACTTTGAGCCCTGAGGTACCCTCACTTGTGACATTAATCCAACTACTGAACTCCATTTACTGCAAACCTCTGCTTTCTTTCGTATCACCATTTTTCTATCCTCTAACTTATCCTCCACATCTACAGAGATAACTTTTTAATGAGCCTTTTATGTGGCACTTTGTCATAAGCTTTCTGAAAATACAGGTACACCAAATCTACACCCATACCCTTATCTACATGAGTAGTAACCTCTTCTAAGAATACCAAAAGATTAATAAGGCAAGGTTTTCCTTTAGTGAAATCACATTGACTATCCAATAAAATTTATAATTTTTTAAAACGACTTTGTGAAACATCTTTTATCAGACTTTCAAAAACTTTTCCCACTAATAGGTATATAATTACTGGGGGTATTCTTATCACCTCACTTGAAAGGAGGAGTAACATTAGCTAACTTCTAATCTTCTGACAACTGTGCATTATTCAAGGTCTTAGAAAAAAATAATAGCGAGTGACTCATACGTCCTATTCTAAACCTCTTTCAAAAACCCGTGGCTAAATATTGTTTGGCCCAGAAGCTTTATCATTCTTCAAACTTCCCAGAATTAATTTGATTATCTAAAACACATCCAGAAGGTCATCTAGGCATGATTATATCTAGTAATTGGTTCTTAAGATTGCTGAACCCAAATTCGGCATTGAACTTTGTGTTCCTGGGCCCCTCGGGATCCTGAAGGCACCATGTTTAAAACTGAATTAATACCCTCACTAACAAACTAGTTGGAACCAAACATATCACAGACAAGTGGCCCAGTAGGCTTATTCAGGTATGGGGATAATTGAGGAGCTTAATTGGCACATTGGAGCCTCTGTGAACTGTGAGAGGACTTTGAACTCCGTATCTGAGCATAGATATTTTATTCTGCTGTGTATAATGATGGATTAAAGATTCTCATTATATTTTCAAAATTTCATTCATCATTACTAAAAAATAAATCTTTGGTGTTTGAAGGTTTGTGATTCTGTATTAACAATATTACCCTAATGGTAGTAATCAAACATCATATTTTGGTAATTTTTATACATTTTGTAATTTGTAACTTGGTTTTGAAAGTAAATATAATACTATTAGTGAGTATCTGATATTTTGTCAGGATATATTTATATCATTATATTAAGGTCAAAAAGCTCAACTTTCAAGCAGCATTTTGCACAGAAGTAACTTCCAGCAGATAGAAAGTAAGCTAGGCAAGAAACGTGATGACGGAAACTCAACATTCAGTGACCTAGCTAGCTCCAGTACTCGGCAGTCTTTAGCCAGCCAACCTCCATTTTCTATTTCAGGTAATTTTAGACAAATGTAAACCAGCTTTATAGGTTTTGGTTTTTTTTTTTATTTAGAGATTTAATGTCAGAAGTAGAATATGGTTAGAAGAGACTTAGTAATGTTAAAGTATATTTTAGTAGTAGTGTGTTGTATATGATTTATTAAGGTTCTTATCAATATCTAAAAATGGTAATTTATTGTCTCTGTCTTAAAAAAAATAAAGGACAGAAAAAGTATTAGTAAATTTTTCTTTCATAAATATATTCCTTCAAGTATGCATGGTTCATCAGGTTTATATTGTAACAAAAATTCAGTTATTGATAATTCAAGTAGGGCTTGATATATAGCATAGGTTGACAATCAAAAGGACAAGAGTGACGTGCTGTATAATGGAACAAAAAACCAAAGTTAATAGGATAAGATTAACATGTCATATAATGTATAATATAATATATAATATACCAGCTGTGAGTTGAATATAAAAGGATATGATACATAAGAGAAGATGGTCAGCTGTTTAACAGGATAAGCAAAATATGTTACATAACACGTGGGCATTAGTATGACCAGTCAGGCCTGATACGTAAAGAATAAATCTCACTACTAGTATGACAAGAAGGATGTGTAACACAAGGTCAGAAGGTAGCAGGATAAGTATGTTGTAGAATACTACAACATTAGCTGTAACTAGGACAGGAAAAAACTTTCAAAAAATGTTATGTGGTTTTAGGAAAATCAAAATATTATTTAAAAAAAAATTTGCTTTTAATAGGACAAAAAGGGCTTCTATAACATGATCAGAACAACTGTTAGTAGGGTAGGAGAGAGAGAGAGAAAGTATGCTATATAACTGAACAGTACCAGTTGTAAGTAGGACAAGAAAGAGAGACATTATCTAACAGAACAATGTTGATTGTTTGTAGGAAAGGAAAATGGGAGTTGTATAACTGAACAAGTCCAAATGTAGTAGGAGAGAGAGAGAGGTGTTAGGTAATAAAATGAAGTAGGTTAGGAGAGAGATGTATCAATGAGCAAGAGGTTTGTAGAACTGATGAAATCCAGCTGTAGTAAGACAGGAGAGAGAAATACTATGTGATAGAATAAGATTGGTTGTTTGTAGGCCAGAAGAGCAGTGTTGTATAAAAGAACAAAACCAGTTGTTTGTAGGACAGGAGAAAGAGGTGTTGTATATCTGAATGAGGCCAATTGTTTGTGGGACAAGAGAAAGGTGTTGTACGAATGAATGAGGCCAGATGTTTGTGGGACAGGAGAAAGGTGTTGTACGAATGAATGAGGCCAGATGTTTGTGGGACAGGAGAAAGGTGTTGTACGAATGAATGAGGCCAGATGTTTGTGGGACAGGAGAAAGGTGTTGTATGAATGAATGAGGCCAGATGTTTGTGGGACAGGACAGAGAGAGAGGAATGTTAATACAACTGTTAGTAAGACACATAAAATAAGAGAAAACTTAAAGTTTTATTTGGGAGGCATCTTTACTAAGATTAATATGTGATTTTGAAGGTAAAAGAAAGTGAAAAATAAATTATATGTATATCTATCTACAAGTATATAAACTATAGTTTAAGCAGTATAATGTGCATGGTGAGGGTTCTTCATCAACTACACAAATAATGTGTTAAAAATGGTAACCAAGAAATAACTTATCTGAATGAATGTCTTTAATTATGAAACAGGTTCCTGATGTAATTGTATCACATTAAAAGTAGGCTAACGTATAGGAAACAAGAGAGCATTCCTGATGTAATGCTCTCTTGTTTCCTATACCTTTGCCTACTTTTAATGTGATACAATTTGATGAAATAGTGAACAATTATATGAGAATGGCCATTCTAATAATGTTCGCCACAGAATTTCTTCGGTTTTACACCAGTAATAACAGAATTGCATGGTGAGGAAATTACAAAATAGAAAATATAGTAATGGTG